GAGAGAGAGGGGATGAGAGTGTCAAAATATCAGCCTCTTTGGTTCAGCAATTGCCCTCTCCCACATTGTGTGGCTTCCTTTAAAATCCAATTAACATTTTGTAACAAGAGGAACAGGAAAGTGGGGAGGAAAAGGCTGGGGTTTTTTTTTTAATCTGGTGGAACATGTTGTCTTTTATATCTATTCATTATTTTTGCTTATCTTCTTGCTTCATACAAGTTTTTACTTCCCCGTAAGTTCAATAACAAGGTAAGCCTACATTAGAGTTGGCGTTTGGGGTGAGGATGCTGGGATTCATAGCTTGGCTTACTCACGTCTCTGTCATTGGCTGAACTCAATAGGGGAGCATGGAGGTGGACATTCCCACTTGTGGGTGATTGTTATGTTAGCAATCCTGAAATCAGTTTCCTGCATACATCACCCCCATCTTACATACCTTAAAATATGTTCCAAATGCCTCTGCAGTCCCTATTCAGTATACATTCAGGTGTTTCTTCTGCCGGTGTATCTGCATGGAAAGAATTCCCCAAAGACAGGATACTAGAGAGATCCCATGTTAAGTTCCTGTTAGCTATAAGCCAATGAAGCCGTCAGGATTGTATGCCTGAAATAGCACATCCTTTAACTGATTCAAAGCAACGTATCTGTGTTCAGTCAGTCAAAAAATGGACAATTTGTGCTGACCGGCCCACCCTTGCTGATCAGCCCCAGCTGGCATTACCAGTGGTGAGAGGTGATAGGGGTCATAGTAGAACAGTTAGATGGCCATATATTCCCCATCCTTGTGTGCTAAGTTTTACAAACAGGCATCTGGCTCCTTGATGGCTAACTCTGACATGTCCTTGCCTTGCCCTCAAAAGGGAGTGAATTTTCACAGATGGATAGGCTGTGCTCACCCTGTTAGGTTCCTCTGGGCACTCCTTCCTTCCTAGGACTCAGTCTTTTGTCTCCCTGTAATCATGAGAATGCTTGTTGTGTGCATTCAAGTCATTCCCACCTTATGACAACACCAATCACAGGGTTTTCATGGCAAGATTTGTTCAGAGGAGGTGTGCCTTTGCCTTCATCTGAGGCTGAGAGAGTGTGACTTGCCCATGGTCACCCAGTCGGTCTCCATGGCTGAGCAGGGATTTGAACTCTGATCTCCAGAGACCTAGTCCAGCACTCAAACCACTACATTACCCTGGGTCCTTTGAGGGGGCTAAAAGGGTCTAATCAAAGGCGAGGGAGAAATAACTTGTTTTCCAATATGCATTGGCTTGGCTTCTCTTGCTCATAGCCTCTGAACATTTTAATCACCCTTTTCAGTGAGGCAGGGAGAGCCAGCATGGCATAGTGTTTTGAGCGCTGGACTGTGACTCTGGAGAACAGAGTTCAATACCCAGTTTGGCCGTGAAACCTGCTGGGTGACCTTGGGCAAGTCACATGCTCTCAGCTTCAGGGCAACGGCAAACCTCTTCTGAACAAATCTTGCCAAGAAACCCCAATGATAGGTTTGCCTTAGAGTTGCCATAATTAGGAAATGACTTCAAGGAACACAACATCAACAACAAAGTTAATAATAATAATAATAACAATAATAATAATAATAAATATCAAAATTGATACAGGAGTTTCAGTACAGAATTCATTGGCTCCAGGAAATACCTGGCATGGGACCCTCATCAGTTCTAGCCCCATCCACTAAAGCAGGGTTTAACTTTGTCCCAGCTGTCTGAGGATGATTGAGCAGGCCTTTTAAAAATCCTATTGCTTGAGTGATTGGGACTGGGGATGCTTGCCCACACCTACTTTGCTTTTTCATCAGCTGTACCATGATACTCAAAATAAAGGACCTTTTGGAATTCCTTCTGGACAGAAGGCGGAAATGGAGGAAGTGTCATGGAAAAGGAGGACCTCTGGTTCCCTTGCTGTCTCAGTCTCATTTCTGCTTTCCTTTGAAATTGAAAAGCTCAGGAGAACTGCAATTCTAGAACCCCTAGCCAGCATGCGAGTATAGTCCAAAATTGTAATTTCTCTCTGAAATCTATGGAAGATGGATTTTGATGCACCTCCTGCACCCTGATCCCTGTTGTCAGATTCCCTTCCCTTCCCTTCTTCTCTGATGGGCAGCTCCAGCTGGCACAAGATGTTGACATATGTCTCGATGTTGATGAGGGAAGAAGTGGGAGCAGAAGATGAGGGAGGGAGAAGACGATGAGGATTGCCATATGGCTGCAGGGGAAATCATATCCAAGCATGTTTTCAGGTTGACTCCTGGGAGGGTGATTCCCCAATCACTTACCTTTGCCTTGATACACTTGAGGAGAGTAGCCTTTTGCTCTTATAAGTTAGCAAGACAACATAACTCTGAGCTACTTGTGTGCTGATGTGTTTTGCTGCAAATGATTGCAAATGTACTGCAAATGTTTGTGGCTATGTCTTATACTGAGGTTGGGGGGAAAATTTAGTGGCCTGTCCTATAGGGCATCATGTGGCCATCCATATGATATTGGATTGTAACTCCCAGCAGCTAGTATAGCCAATGGTGAGGGATTGTGTGAGTTGCAGTCCAACATCTTTTGGACTGATTCCCAGTCTTGGTGAATGACAAACCCCTAGGTGTTTTCCTAGCCCTAGTAGTAAACATATATATGATAGTACCGGTATGTGGCAGATTCCTTCCCTAAAAACTGTGAGCACACAGCTCCAGATCTTGTTGGACTGCAAATTCTGACAGCCCTGTCCAACAACATCTGATAGACTGAGTGATTTCTACAATCTTCCACACAGAGAAATCAGAAAAAAAGATACTTGCAATGGGGGAGCAGCATTCATAGATAGGCTTGTGTTTTCCTATGAGTTAATGTACCGGTAGTTGTATATTTGATGCAAGGGGAGACAGATGTAGACATGGATAGGCCAATCATTGTAACGTGAAGGCTTGCTCTATATAACCTTGTGTTCATTTTTTCTGTAATCTTAGAGATCAAGCCAAGTCACGAAGGTCTTCTGACTAGAGGTGGATGGGGGACAAGCAGTGTTCCACTTTGAGAGGCCCTGAGCTTTACTGCTAGAATTTGTTCTGTTGTTTTACTATATTTTTCTCCTGGTTCTCAGATGGTTATTGGCTCCCAAAGCACCTGGCATCAATAAAAAGAGAGAGGCAGAGACAGTCTCTGCCATTAGACTTGCAAACTAAAAAGACAAGATGCCTAAGGAGTGGAAGGAAAGGAAGGGATATTGAGGCCAGAATAAAGTGGTGACTTACAAGCAGGCACTTAAATGTAGTTCAGGCCAGGCTGATCTTCCCTTGCTGGCATTCTGGCTTGAATAGCAATGCATGGCTCTTATTGCTTTAGCCAAAGGAAGGAGACACACTTCTTTCTTTCTTTCTTTCTTTCTTTCTTTCTTTCTTTCTTTCTTTCTTTCTTTCTTCCTTCCTTCCTTCCTTCCTTCCTTCCTTCCTTCCTTGTTTCATGGAGTCCTATGACAACAGGCAGTTGGAGCTGACCTGTGTCTAACAAGGAGAGAGGGGAAGCAAACTGTTCATTCTCTCACTCTATCAGATGGGATGCACTGATTTTAACCTTGCTTCGAGATACTCCTGGGATATGTGTGTGTATGTCTGTGCTTGCAGCTTCCCAGTGGTCCTTGTTCTCCCAGCTGATGGCAGAAGCCAGAGTTTCTACTCTCACACGCCAGAGCAACAGAAGGGGTGTGCATAGGATTATGTGTATACTGCAGGTTTGCAGGAGTGCAAGGAAAAGCTCAGATAACAATATCAGGGCAACAGTATGGTTTCTGAGCATCTCGGCTGCATTTTGTTTGTTTCTAGTCCTTATGGTTGGAGGTGGGTGTGTGAAAGCTTTGTAGACAAAGTCTGCTGGGGAAAAAAAAGTTAATTCAAGTTTGTATGTAGATTAAAATAATTCAACTTTTCTCCCTTAATGCATAACTTAGATTACCTAAAAGCAATCCTTTTTTATTTTGAAAAGAAAAAAGAAAGCTTGCTTACTTGCAGCTCAGGGTTAACCATATGATAAATTGGGCTGCAGTTGCTTAGAAAATTGCCTTGGGTTTTCTGCTAGGATTTTTTAAAGCCTGGAAGTCTTTAAAATTTAAAAGGTGATTCTTTCTCCATGTGATTCTACTCCCTCTCCCCATTTCAGTTTCAAATCAGACCTTTTCCTCACTTCCTCCTCCTTCCACATCTTTCAAGTTTCTTTTAAAGCTATTCAGTTTTACTGGTGAATCTACCTGAGAGAGGGAAGAGAGAGGGAAGAGAGATTGCTCTTGTCTATTGGTATGAAAAAAAAATCCGCTGAAACAGGCTGGCTTTGGGCTGGCTGGTATCAGACATCGACTGCCCACAGACAGTCATTAGCCTTAATATAACACCGCTCGAATTCAAGTGTATGGATGCAAGGGAATAAAAGGAAATTAAAATCTTCAGTTTCTTTTCAGGAAAAGTTCATCTGATATTCTGACAACCAACCAAAGAGTTAATGGAATAGTATGTAGGAATTTACCTCTAATGCTCCTTTATTAATAATTCATCTAGTGATTAATGTCTCATGGCTTTTTTCTTTCTTTCCAACACCTTAAAAAAATTAGGGAGAATATAATGCCCCTAAATCTTGTTCACTGTGTTCTTCCCCCCCCCCCCCCATATATTAAAATTCAGACTCAATATTCTGAAATAAGGTACATTTCTCCTTAATGGCTTGATCTGTGGACACTGGAATTGGATATACTGATAGGGATAGATGTGTAACAGGCCATGTTTTCAGTCTGATTGATAAAATTGCTGCAGTATTTTAACACAAAGTCCTGCCAGAATAACAGTGTGGCACTTTAAAGTAATCTGCAGTCTTTTGTGTTGTACAACACAATTTCAGTTCACAAGTACCAAAGTCATTTGTTATAAAGAATGAATTAAGCAGTCAGGGCTGTACAGTGGTGCGAAAAAGTATGCAGATCTTAAAGATAATTATGGAAATTCCATAATTTTGGCATGATATGTGAATCAGAGCCAGACCATTTCTAAATATCCAGTAGCTAAATATTAACCAGTGCCATGTCTTGTGAGATAAAACAGTGCATAATTCAGGCAAACAATGAATACTTAATGAATACTACAATCAGGAGACATCTCTGGGGATCTCAGAAAAGCAGATTTTGCTGCTCATCATTCTAGAAAGAGTTTTAAAACCATTTCTAAGGATTTTGGGCTCCACTAATCACTATCAGAAAAATAGTGCATGAATGGAGAATGTTCAGGATCACAGCTATTTACCCAGAAGCAACAGTCCTGCCAAAATTTCTCCAAGAATAAAACTAGTATATCATTAAGGAAGTCACAGAGAACCCCAGAGTTACATCCAATAATTTTTAGGCCACTCTCCCCTTTGTTAATGTGAGTGTGTGTGATTTAAAAAAGACCAAAAAAGAATGATGTTCATGGGAGGATTTCCATTGCTATCTAAAAAGAACATTCCTGCCCATCTCGAGTTCACAAAATATCACACAGATCCCCAAGATGACTTTAGCAACAGTGTTCTCTGGAAAGAGAAGTCTGTAATGGTCTCAGTCCTGCTCTTGAGTAGGAGAAGGGATCTCTGAAGATCATCTAGCTACCACCACCTACTGATTTAACCCACATAACTCAGTAACTCAATGGGAAGTTACTGATGGGCTCAACTTGTATTTTCTTCACCTCTGACCCTGCAGAGGTTTTTCCTCCTTTGTGAGAGATGAGAATCCTATATGCATATCTATGTGCATACACTGAGGGAATGTGGAAGAAATGAGATCTTTGAAAGAAAGCTTTTTATGCTAAGGAATCAATCTGCATTAACAAAAGGGTATTTCTTAAATGAAGGGACCTTCCTTCAGGCATTACTTAAGAGTAGTTACAAAGTTACCAACACCCTAGGCCATATTCAACTGAGTCTAAAAAGAACATAATCTCTTATGCTAAGCATTCATAGTCTACTCATGATACAGATGGAGTCCTCAGTCTTGGATATTCTTGGGAAGCTGGGCATTTAGGCATCCTTGCCAAACCTGTAACCAAACTTCTCTAGATGAGGCAGGTGTCTCAGCCTCAAAGTCCCAGTCTCTTTGAAATAGTGCAAATTGAGTTCACTTTAACTGCCCAGGCTCAGTGCTCCGGAATCATGGGGATTGTATTTTTTTCTGAGACACTGAGCCCTCTCTCACAGAGAGCTCTGGTGCCACAATAAACTACAGTTCCCATTATTCCCTAGCACTGAGCCAGGACAGTTAAAGTGGAGTCAATTTGCACTATTTCTGGCAGTCTGCAAAGGCCCTTTGTCTCCTTTTCTCCCTCTCTCTCTCTCTGCTTGTGACACCAGGAGGTTTTATAACTTCTCACCGGGAAGCATCTC